CTTCTTTTTATGCTATTCCTTTGTTGTTTGTTGTATTTATGCTGCTATGGTAACTCAGTTTCCCTCTGGGATTAATGAAGTTTCCCTGATTCTGATTTTGAAAACAACTTAACAGTAGTTCAAGTACCTGGTGACATAGTTTACAATGCTGGTCTGTAGCAAGAGGTCACGACCTGGAAGTAGATTTTCAGTGATGAGGTTCTGGTTGGACCTCACAGCTACACCATTACACACACAAAGAGAGCGCAAGACATCCAGCACCTAAAGGTAGAAGCATAAACACTTTTATTAACTTAATTATCACTGGATTATCCGCTGGTTAAGATTACTAAAAACAGAACAGCAAGAACAAAAAGGATTTTATGAGTCAGATTCATTCAGACATTCAGGACTGTCTTTACATTATGAGATAAACAGAAGAACTGCTGCCCATGACAGGAGAGAGACAGACACCAGCTAGCTACCACCAACAGGTAAAAATATATTTGCCTGGATTCTGTCTTTGCTTTCTCTTCTACTTTTTTTTTCTTTACCAGTTTATAGATCTTCTAACTGATGTGATGGCCCACCAATACCTCCTCCACAGGAGATACTGGTAAGAGGAGATAAACTAGTGTCTCCAAAGCACTTTAGCACTGATGTAAAATCAAGCAAACAGGCAGTCCTTCATGCACACACTAATTTCTAAAAGTGCACAGTGAGAAAGGATGTCGTGTCTGTGTGTCTACAGACATGCATCTAAATCTTGCATATTTTGATTACATCTGCAAACCCTGACAATAAACAACAGCAAAACAGATTTAACGTGTTAATGGGAAAATATTCAAATATGAGTGCATATCATATGGAGCTAATTTATTTTCCCTTTCAGTTCCTGGCAGTGAAATATAGCCTACCTTATGGTTCCTTCCATGCTTGTCCAAGAGAGAGATGATGGATTTGATGTGGTTCTCCTGGATGATGTTCAGAACCTCGGGGCTTTCAATTAAGACACAGTACAGCACCTCAAGAATACCTTAAAAAAAGGAAAAGGGTTCATATACTGGTAATATTTAAATAATATACAGTCTTCAGGCTAGCTGCTGGCTGGCAGAGATTTGCGTCTTCAAAACTGCTGGGTTTTTATCTCGCAGTATAAAGCAACTTGATGCAACTGTTGTTGTGAATTTTTAACCAACTCCTGATCTAGACTGGATGTACTGAATGTAAGGAGACTTGTGTATTTCAGTTTGTGGCGTGGGTGTGGTCTCTGGCCAGCTGCAGAGGAGGGGTGACACAGTGAGCTTCCGGGGCGGCGCAGGGGCGGGGTCGACAGGTGTGCTGGGTTCCGACATTGATTGTGTGTCTTCTTATGTTGACAGTGACAGTCGGAGGGGAGCGGACGTGACAGCTGCAGAGAGCGGGAGTGGCTGCGAATAAACCCACGTCTCTAAATAAAACGTTGTGCTGTCAAAATAATCGCCCCAGCGTGTATTTATCGGGTCAAACGCTACACAGTTATATTGTACTGTATCAAAGGTGTTATTAATCTGAGGATTTTATGAGTGGAAATAACAAACAACACCCTAGGGCTTAATGCATTAAGCTGTGCCAATTATAAACAGTAGATCCTGCCAAGCCAATTAGTCGAAACACTTGTAATTTGTGGGTGCTGGATGTATGACTGAATGAGTAAGGTGCACTCCAAACCTGAGGAGGCCTCCAGACGGTCCAGCTTGCTGACCAACCAGTCGAGATTGTCACAGAACAATGCACAATTTGATCGGTTACCCCTGATCAGAGAAGCTGTGCAGTGGAGACACAGAGACAAATCATTTTTTCTTTATTCAGCAGTGACCACGTGTAATTTGCGGTTTGTGTTTTCAGAGGCCGTACCCAGCAGCTCATAAAGGAGGTTGACAATCTCCTTCCAGGACTCAGCAGCCTCCTCTCCCGCAAATTCAGAAAAGTGGGCAGCAGTGTTGTATACGTTCAGGCGGTCAATGCACTCCAGCACAATGGTTATCATTCCCTGGGGTTGAAAACAAAAAGAAAAGGATCAGGATTCATGATAATAACCTGAGAGTTTAGGTCATGTTCACATCCATTTAAACTTATTTTGTATAAAAAAGAATATTCCCCTTTATTCTGAATATAACACTGAAATTATTTCTTGCACTCATAGTGCAAGAGGTTTTGATGGCAGCATGCTGATTACCTCCTCCTGGAAGAGGTTCTGCCGGTTGCGGAGAGAGCGGAGCTTGGTCTGTTTCTCTTCGTGTTCCAGTTCCTCCTCAGGTGGGCGAAAGTAGAAGATGAGATCCTGAAGAGAGAGGATGACCGCCTCCAGAGGAAGTGATCCTGTCCCTGGTGACTTGTTCTTCCCACTGAGGGAGTCCAATCCGCTGAAAGAACAAATAAAATTTAATAATATGTTTATATGACTGCATCCTGCTGCAAAAAAGAGTTTCCACTCATCCACATTTTGAAAACATATAAACTTACTTGATGAACTGCCTGAAGAGGCCTGTGGTGCTGTAAATCATTCGAGCAGCCTGTGACTCTTCAGTCTGAGAGCGGGACACAGTCAAGGCATCGTCCATATGGCCCTCTTGGTGCAGAATAACCTGGAAACATTATTTTCCATTGGTGGTACTTATGTAGGAAAAAAGATTTAAGAACCTTAAAAAGGTTTGCCATTATCAATATTTACTTATTTTCACATTAAACATTAAAGCACACAGATGCAGGTAAACAATACTAAAATCTGACAAATGTCTGGACTGCAGGCAAGCCAGCACCCGGACTCTTCCGCATTGATGCTGCTTTTCCAGATTACAAGCTGTGAATATGCAGTAAAGTAGCTCCATATCATCAAAGATCCAGCTTTTCTAACTGTGTGGTGATAACAAGAAAGAACTTCCACAAGCCAAATTAATCCAGATGTGGAATCCAGGTTTTACAAGAATTCATCCACAGAATAGTCTACCACTTTACCCCAGTCCATTTTAAATGGCCCAGAGAAGATGGCAGTGTTTTTGGATCATGTTCACATG